CCTCTGGGACCTGAGCTGGGCCCACCGGAACTGCTGGGGCCGGAACCTCATCATCAAAGTCAATCTGAGGCTCCGCCACTGGTGCTGCTGCTATGGGCTAAGCTCTGCCCCTACCTCGGCCTCTAGCACGGCCTCGGCCTCACCCTCTGCCCCTTGTGGAGCTACTGCTGGGGGCTCGGGCTACTGGTCAGTGGATGAGGAAGTGCGCGTTCTCGCCATCTGCGAAAGAATAGAGTAGAAATTCAATTAGCATTGAGGAACCAAACCGCACGATAGGAAAGAATAAATGTGAAGTACTTCCTAACTCTATAGCCTCTGGGGGATAAATACAGACGTCTCCGTACCAATCCCTCAAACTCTACTAAGCTTGTTTGTGAACTGTGAGACCCATGTAACCTAGAGCTCTGATACCAACTTGTCACGACCCGAATTTCTCACCCTCAAGAGTCCTGATGGCGCCTACTAGTGTGAGCTAGGAAAGCCAAACCTTTAATCTAATTACTTCATTAACCAATTATTTAACAAATATAAGACGATAACATGAAAACATCGGAACTTTAAATATTTAAGCGGAAGATAACAATTAAATATACGAAATCTGCATCTATTACAACTCTTAAAACCCTAAGCACCCAAAACCTGGTGTCACAGTGTCACATACGGTTTAAGATTTACTACATAGAAAGTCTGAAGAAAATGACAATACACTGTTTCTGAATAAAAGGAAAAAGAAACAGGAAATAAGAATAGAGGAGACGCCAGGGCCTGCGGACGCCTATAGGTCTACCTTAGATCTCCGCGTGGACTGAAGGTAGCCTCCACACTATGGTCCAAAAGCTGCTCCAGGATCTGCACATAGTGCAGAGTGTTATCAGCACAACCGACCCCATAAGCTGGTAAGTGTCTAGCCTAACCTCGGCAAAGTAGTGACGAGGCTAGGACCAGACTACCAAATAAATCTGTGCAGTTATATAATATACAACGGAAAGTAAAATAGAATAAACAAATATAGATGGGAAGGGGAAACATGCTTCGGGGGAAAACAGGTAAAACAGAATATCAAGAGAACTATAAAGGAATCAAAATCCAACCACTAACAAGAATAAGGAAAACAAAGGCAGATTTCACTTTCTTTTCACATCTTGTTGCAGGCGTGCAACCCGATCCCATTTCATTTATCTCGTGGTAGGTGTACCACCCGCTCCCATTTCATTTATCTTGTGGTAGGCGTACCACCCGCTCCTATTTCATTATATCGTGTTGTAGGCGTACCACCCGCTCCCATTTCATTTATCTTGTGGTAGGCGTACCACCCGCTCCTATTTCATTATATCGTGTTGTAGGCGTACCACCCGCTCCCATTTCATTATATCTTGTGATAGGCGTACCGCCCGCTCCCATTTTATTATATTTTGTGGTAGGCATGCCACTCACTCCCATTTTATTATATCTTCTGGTAGGTATACCACCCGCTCCCATTTTATTATATCTTGTGGTAGGCATACCACCCGCTCCCATTTTATTATATCTTGTGGTAGGCGTACCACCTGCTCCCAGTTACAAGCCAACAATAATCACAAGGAATCCCGACAAGGGAACAAGAGTAATATAACAACTTCCCAGCAAGGGAACAATGATATTTCAATAACATTCCGGCAAGGGAACAATACTATCAAAACAAACATCCCGGCAATGGAACAATGGTGATAATAACATATGAAGCGCAATAAACCACAACGGAGTCATAACAATTGTAATACAAAACTCACGGGCATGCTTGACACCAATGTATATATACTCGTCACCATGCCTATTCATACTCCGCAATTAACATGTAGCAAATAAGACACAACTCCTAATCCCTCAAGCTAAAGTTAGACCAAATACTTACCTCGATGCCACAAACACAATTCACGATTTAACTATAGCTTTACTCCTTGATTCCACCACCAATTTGCTCGTATCTAGTCAAAGTTACTTAATTACGTCAATAAACACTAAATGAATCAACTCCAATGCATGAAAATGAATTTTCTAAAGTTTTACCCAAAAAGTCAAAAATCGCCCCTGGGCCCACATGGTCAAAACCTGAGGTTCAAGCCAAAACCTGATTACCCATTCCCCCACGAACCCAAATATATAATTTGTTTTGAAATCGAACCTCAAATTGAGGTCCAAATCCCCATTTTTTGAAAACATAGGTTCTACTCAAAACACTCAATTTCCCCCATGGAAATCATTGATTTGAAGTTGAAATCATGTTAAAAGATGTTAAGGAATGAAGAAAATGAGTTAAAAATCACTTACCAATATTTTGGAGAAGAAAAGTTATTTGAAAAATCGCTTCCTATGTTTTTTTTAGGGTTTTGAAAAATGAAAATAACTGAAAATCCCGTCTATTTATACCCCTCTCAAACCCCCTGTGTGGACCACACAAAATGGAGTGCGGCCACACAGTCCTTCCTGAGGATATTGCAGTCCAGTGCCCCTGTGCAGACCGCACAAAGTCGACTGTGGCCGCACAACCCTCCACCACGCACCGCACAAGGCCGACCACGGACCGCACTGGCCCCTTCCGTGGTCGCACACGTTTTCTTGCAGAGCGCACTGGCGGGTTCAGAGACCCGCTACTTCTCTGAACCTGCAACATCTGGTTTTAAGCCTAAGACATCTCGGAACCTACCCGAAACTCACTCGAGCCCTTGGAACTCAAAACCAAGTATACACACAACCTCAAAAATATCCCTCAGATTTATTCGTACGATCACATCATCAAACTAACATGTAACATCATAAATTAAACCTCAAACTCAATATTTTCATCAATACTCTCAAAGTTCATAACTCTCCAACAGGAAGTCCAACTCATGTCAAATAAAATCCGTTTTTACCAAACTTTACAATTATCTTTCAAATACTATGAAAAGTTTTTACCGGGCTCTGGAACCAAAATACGGGCCCGATAACAATGGTTTCAAACATTAATTATTTTCTTTATTTCTTAGATAATTCAGCAAAACAATTTCTTTCAAAAATTGATTTCTAAGGCTTGGGACCTCGGAATTCATTTTCCGGTATACGCCCAAGTCCCATATTTTACTGCGGACCTCTCGGGATCGTCGGAACACGGATTCGGGTCCGTTTCCTACAAATTTTGACCAAAGTCAACCATAATCAAATTTTTAACTCTAAAATTTTATTTCTCATATTTTCACATAGACGACTTTCCGGATATAGGTCCGGACCACGCACGCAAATCAAGGTGTGGTAAAAGGGAGGTTTTTTAGGCCTCGGAACACTGAATGCACTTGCAACACAAGTGATGACCTTTTGGGTCATCCCAAGAATTCATAATTTCATTATATATATAACACATAATAATTAAAAATATTGGTAGATGTTTTTATAAAAAGGCTTATCTATTTGTGGTTTTGATGATTGAAAATTACAATTAAAAGGAATATTATATTATGGACATACGAAAAGTGGGGGATAAAGTTAATGTTAGGATATTTATACTATGAACTAATTAAAAAAATAAAAGATAAATAAATAACACTAAAAAAATAGATAATTTTTGTCAAATTATCCGCGCATCGCGCGAGTTCTAACACTAGTTTGTAATTAACAAATAAATACATTTAAAGAAGAAGAGAAAAATCCTTTTTTTTAATTTTAAGCAGACCAACACCCTGCACCTTTCCCCCCACCCCCAAACCTATTCTTCTTCTTCCTTTTCCCCATCTCCCTCTTACGTCCTATCTGTCTCTCATCCCTAATTCAACAAAGCCAATACCATTGTAGGACAAAAAATATTTCAATAATTAACAATTTATATATGTAAATGAGCAACATCCACAAGGAAAAGGAAATGAGTTGGCAAATCCAACTTGCGTTCTCGCTTTACTAAAAAAAAATCAACCAGCAATCTAAGTTCACCATTGGTGTCAAGTTTGCCACTCAAACTATTCATGTCGATGACAAAATTATCAAAGACCAGATTTGTGACACTGCAGGGCAAGAAAGGTATGGGCAAGAAAGGCTCCGGTACTCTATTTTTTTCTGTCCTGCCTCATTTCTTCTCTTTTCTCCTCTATTTCTAGGGTTAATGAACTCAAAAATCCAAAGGCTAAAAGAGTGGTGCCAAATCCAGTGGTCTTGAAGACTATCATATATGGATGAACCTTGATGGTCCATCGTGTATAAGTAAAAAAGTAGAAATCAACGGCTGAAATCCGCGGCTGAACCTTTAGAGGTTATCCATGGTTGAACTCGATGCGAGCTTCTGTTTGCTTTTTAATACTCTTTTTTGCGTCCAGATTGAAATAGAAGTGGTGGATTTATGGTGGAAGGTGGTGTCGTGGTGATTTGTAATGAATACCAAAATATCTGATATTACAATGTAGCCCACCTTTTAATATTATTTGAAATTGAGCCCCTATGGTTAGTTAGGGCTGCCAGCTAAGGGATATGTGATTATTTTAGGTCTATATATTTAGTACTGTAGCAATGTATCAGTCATGTTGAATGAAAATTGAGTCTTTCTTTTCTCTACATTTCATTTCTTTCCTTTTAGTTCTTGTTTTCCATTTCCACGATGATTCCAAAGGGTATCCTTACAGTTGGTATCAGAGCCGACGATTCTCGGCTATTCATCGATGTTAATGGCGGAGTCAGACATAAGTTTAAATCAATTGGAGCAACAAATTTAAGATTTTATGGACAGATCGAATAGAAGACTATAACATATGAAAGAATGGTATCAAAATCATTTTCAGACCTTCCATAGTTCACAAAATCAATATGAGTTCCGAAGGTCGGCGAGTGAGCAATAGGTTTTCGGTGACCCGTACGCATATCTTCAGTATCCCTGCGCAAATCCAAGTGTTTATCGTGATTCTGGTGGTGATTTCACCGATAGATTTGCTAACCCAACGGTTGAAGGATGTAATTATCTCGATTCACCCATAAGTGCTTACTCTTAAAATATTCCATGTGCTTAAAAATTTGACAGTAACTATGCGGGTTTATATATCATTCAGATGGGGGTGGTACTATAGTGTCGGTGATAGCTACTGCGCCTACACACGGAGATCCTCTAGCGATGACGACAAAATTCTGGAGGAACATGAAGAAGAGAGGGTACTTCAGTGCCTGTCGTGGCCGTATCAAAAAACTAAGAAAACATGCAGGAGGTAGAGGAAATGCAAGCAATATGCACCATCACAGAATTCCCTTTGGCAAAAACCATCCTGCTTATTTCGGAAAGGTGAGTATGAGGTATTTTCACAGATGCATGAACTTATCTAAGCAAGAAAGGACAGTAACATCATCTGCCCAGAACGATATGGCAGAGCAAGCAGTATATGATGATGAAGAAAATCCATTAGAGGTTCCTCTGTCTAAATTGGTGGAAGATGTGTTTGATGAAATTCCTAAGAGAAATGAAGTTGATCTTGATGTTCAGAAACTAATTACTATGGGTGAGGATTCGCAACAAGAGGTCCTAAAAGTTGAAGGTAGCCTTGAGAAGAAGTCTGAAATAAATGAGGAGCATGTGTTTAATAAAAATCCTTAAAAGAACGAAACTGAAATGTTGAACAACAAGCAGTCAGTGGTAGTAACATCGTCTCACCAAAAAGGCGTCACAAATCAAGTAGTAGATGAGGACGAAGAAGAAACACTAGAGACGGTCGAAATTTGAAAATAACGACATTGAGGATGGAAGAAAGGTGAAGGATAAAGAGGAGAAGGAGGGCAAAACAAAGGAAGATCAGGTGTTTGATGAAAGTTACCAAAGAGGTACAACTAAGATTCCTAGCCAAATAGCAGATAAAGAATCATTTCATGTTCCTTTAGGAGACCAAGGCTACTTATTGCCAAATAACAATAAGATTTTATCTGTTGAATATGAGGGACCAATACAAAATAGTAAAATTGCTTCAACTGTTACACAAATAGAGATCGAAGTTGCGGATGCTGGTAAGAGTGTTACTACTAAAGCTAAAATGTCAATTGTAACTGCTCATGTTTCCTTTGGTATGCCGGAAATGTGTGTGTTGCTTTTCGATTATCATTTTGGACAATTAATTTGTTTAGGAACCTTGAAAATGGGATTTAGATGTGAGGTGTTAGCAAAGAATTCTATAATGAGTAGGTACCCAGAATGTGGGAAGAATTGGGTTGCTGTCAAACTATTCAAAGAAATACTGAATAGAAATATGATCTCGGAAATTGTGATGTTGTATTGTTCTAATTTGAATGGTAAAAGCGAGAAGGAATTGAGACTTTCAATACCTGTAGTGGCTGATTTTGTGGTCCATTACTGCAAATTGTTAAGTTGTTTGGGTATTAATAGGAGTCATGATTCATCTGGATTAATTCATGAGAAGTTCCTTGATAACTTTGTATCCCAAACGGGGTAAAATTGAAGGAGCGTATAATGCTTCTAGAAATTTAGGTATGTGGAATGATATGTTGATTGTGTGTGCGCAACAAAATGAAAGATTACTATTGCATAGTGTTTCCAGTAATGCAATGCTTATTTCGCTTAGTGTCATTCCCTCATTCTGGTCTGAAGTTGTTGGGAAGATATGTGGCTGGATTAATAGTGGCTGGATATCTTCTTCAGTTGTGATGCTTGAGGTCCTCTATTTTACTAATGAGCTACTTGAATGGATCATTTATTTTTGAGTCCTTTTGGTACAATTGCCATGTGGCCATGTTACTACTTCTATTATTTTGGCTCCTACTTAATATGATTGGTTTTATAGGTCAAAACGGTACAAATGATTTGCTGATTTTTCATGAAGAAAGGATGGAAATACTGGTAAAAGTTAATGAGATCACATTTACTGGTGTTCTTAAAGCTATGTCAGTGTCCTTGACTATTTATGGGATCTCATTTGCTGTTGGAGTAGAGTATCACAGAGTGGTAGTAGATGTATCTATCGCCTATAGGTTGGATGATCATAATACGGGTCACTTGAGATGTGCAATAGGTGAAGAGTTTGACGCGTGTGGTATACTATGCTCCAGTTTGAAGAGCTTCAACAAAGATTTCTTTGATCTAGGAAGGATGGAGTTTGGTTATTATGATTTGTTTGATGTGAAGCTCTTGGTTCAATGTACTGTGTTATGGAATCAAGAGAGTCTGATGCTACTAGTAGCAAAGATATTACAGTTAGTATACTACACTGTAGAGTTTGATTAGAATGATGAAAAATTATTCCAGCAATAATTGCTGCTCATGGCAGTACACTATATGATACTAACTGAAGTTGTCCTTTTGGGAAATGATGTGAAGAAATGGTGGATAAAGAGTCACTGGGGTTCACCATTGAAGTATATTGTACCAAGCAGAACTGGTACATTTGCCGTGATAACATCAATGATTTTGCTCCAAGTTGGCCCGTTGTTGGTTGCTGTATCATTTGCTTCAACCTTTGGTTATCGCTTACCTTGTAGTGTTAGTGGCTCTCTTAGTTATATGGCTAATCAAACAAAGGTTAGTAGTTTTAAGCTGGAAAATTCTACGAATGAAGCCTTGGCTACAACAGTTGAATTTTCTTATCTTTTCGGAACATTTTCAATCAGTGCACTGCTTTGCCTAGTTATCATGAACAACTTGACACAAACTATGAAACTTTTTATGTATCCTTTGCTAATAAAGGACATGAGAGTAACAAGCTAATTAGGATGTTTGAAGGAACTTATAATGTTGCTTTCGTAGAGACCATTTGCCTTTGTGCTCAAGTTGTGATCATCTGTGGCTAGTTGGTGGCATAGTATCCAATATTGTTGTTGGAAATTCATTGCTCTTCATTGAATCATGTCTTCCCAATGTTTGGAAACATACGATGACCACTATTCATAGCAGCAAGTTTCTGCAATACAAAGAAGACAACTGGCTGGTGCACTACATTCTCAATTGTTTGAATTCCAACTTGAGGACAAGGTTGTTTTTAAAGGCGGTGGATTGTAATGAATGCCAAAATATCTGATATTACAATGTAGTCCATCTTTTAATATTATTTGCAATTGAACCCCTATGGTTAGTTAGGGCTGCCAGCTAAGGGATAGTAGATTATTTTAGGTCTATATATTTAGTACTGTAGCAATGTATCTGTCTTGTTGAATGAAAATTGATTCTTTTTTTTCCTCTGCATTTCATTTCTTTCTTTTTAGTTCTTGTTTTCCATTTCCATGATGATTTCAATGTGGGAATCGTTACATGATTTTAGGTGGTGGAGCTAATGATGTTGGGGTGAGGAAGGTTCATATGGAATTTTGGGTGAAAAAGGCTTGGTATTATAGCTTAGAAATTATTGAGCGAGAAAAAATGATAATATAGTGTGGGACCCAGGTATAAAATTTAATTTAATTCTAAACATCAGAGAGAACAAGTCTGATAAAAGCCTCACGCGTCCAAATGTAACTAAAATATTGGTATCTTTGTCATGTAGGTGTTTACTTGATACACTTAATAACTTTTGAAGTGTTTAAATGATAAATGGATCAGTTGAGGTGTTTGTCTGCCGTTGTGAACAACTTAAATTGATCGTTTATGTATTTAATAACATTTTCTCTTCCTCTCCCAAGTATCCAAATTAATTCCTGGCACATTTTCTTTTTTCCTTCTGTTGATTTCTTTGTCCTATAATCTTCTCACCGAGTGTCCGTATTCACCTAGGGCATCATCGGAATCATCTTCTCACTGTCTAAGATTATAAGATCCATACGCTTGTATACAACCGATATTATTTATGATTCAAATCTCCATCTGAATTACTCAAATTATGGCATAAAAATGAAATTAAAAAGATAAATCCAATAAAATAGAAGAAGATAAGACGACATTGCATACACATGTAATGCAAATTATAGACACCGTATCTAACTGCAAGCAGTAATAATTCTGTCGAACAAAAAGGAAATTTCACATATTCCAATTCAACCACGTACAATATAGAGAAGTTTATGTTAACAATAGAAGATGCATAAATCATGAATGACAAAAAAGTTGCTCCTACTTACCTCGAGTCCGAAACCTAAATGGCAAGTTTTTGGACGCAAAACACATTTTTACAGTTTTAAAAAAAAAGATTACTTTTCTATCTAAAACGCGGTATTATATACTGTGTCTTACTTTAACGGAATTTTCGCCGTTAAAGTAAAGCGCAGCATAATACTGCATTTTTCATATAGCGCAGTATTATACTGCGTTTTACATATTAAATTTAAGCCCCCCCTTCTTCCCCACGACAGAACACTAGTTCCTCCCCCTCCATTAAAATATTGCAACAGCGGTCCCCCCTATTCTAAAAAAAATAAATTCTAGTGGACCCCACCCGTCACACAAAAAGTGAAGATTGTAGGTCCCGCATACAACCCAAGCCTTCGATTGTTGTGGTTTCCTCATTTCGGGCTCAAAATTTTAATTTTTCGACATTTCTAAAAACATACATCGAGGTATTCCGATTTAGTTTATGTCGAAACTCGTATAATAATCCATATTAGTTGTCTTGAATGTGTTTCCACGTTGTTTTGTGTTTTGTTTGCGATTGAATTTGTATGTTATTTTTATCCGGATTAAATTACTAGTGTTTAAAAAAAATAGTTAAAAGTTGAGAAATAATTTGTTTAGTTAATAAAAATGTTCATAAATTTCTTTTACTGTTTTATATGTAATTTCGTGAATGTTATGTTATTAAAATATGTTTATTGTTTTTATTTAGTTTACATTATTTATTTGCTTAAAGAATAGTGCCATTATAGCGTAGTAAAATATAGAGCCTTATAGCGTAGTAAAATATAGAGCCTTTTAGCGTAGTGAAATATAGAGTTTTTAGCGTAGTAAAATATAGAGCCTTTTAGTGTAGAATTTCTGTAGTTTAAGTATCTACTAACTACAAACTCTATCCAATTACACTTCCAAAAATTAATTATTTAATTTATAAAACAAACACACAGAACTAACAAATTAATATATGCTGTCAAATTAATAATCGAGCGTGGAACTCATAGATATATACTCTGTCCAATTAAAAATTAATTATTTAATTTATAAAACTAACAAAATTCTAAAAATATTGAAATTGACACACATAAGAATTCATGATAGCTTGGTGCTATTGGGCCTCAAATATCGAGCCTAGAACCCATAGATATATACTCTGTCCAATTAAATAATTAAATATTTAATTTATAAAACTAACAAAATTCTAAAAATATTGAAATTGACACACAAAAGAATTCAGGATAGCTTGGTGCTACTGGGACTTAAATATCGAGCCTGGAACCTATAGATATATACTCTGTCCAATTAAATAATTAAATATTTAATTTATAAAACTAACAGAATTCTAAAAATATTGAAATTGACACACATAAGAATTCAGGATAGCTTGGTGCTACTGCCTCAAATATCGAGTGTGGAACCCACAGATATATACTCCGTCGAATTAAATAATTAAATATTAATTATTATAACACAAACAAAATTCTAAAAATATTAAAATTGACACACACAAGAATTCGGGATAGCTTGGTGCTACTGGGCCTCAAATATCGAGCCTGGAACCTATAGATATATACTCAGTCCAATTAAATAATTAAATATTTAATTTATAAAACTAACAAAATTCTAAAAATATTGAAATTGACACACATAAGAATTCAGGATAGCTTGGTGCTACTGGACCTCAAATATCGAGTCTGGAACCCATAGATATATACTCCGTCGAATTAAATAATTAAATATTAATTATTATAACACAACAAAATTCTAAAAATATTAAAATTGACACACATAAGAATTCAGGATAGCTTGGTGCTATTGGGCCTCAAATATCGAGCCTGAAACCCATAGATATATACTCTGTCCAATTAAATAATTAAATATTTAATTTATAAAAGTAACACACAATTAATGTTGTTTAATTTACAGTAGACGATATGGACATGCCGGCTGTGCATCATGGACCTTTATCGGATGAGATATTAGTGTTACAGGGCGATCATAGGTTCGCCTACGTATGGGAGGGAGAGCTAGTGGAGCAGACTCTCCGTACCAGGAGAGTGGACGGCGTGTGGGACTTTATGAGGGAGAGAGGTTTCCATTCCCGCGTAGTCCAGCGCCTGCGTGATACAGGCTTCTATAGGATTTTTGAGATTGGGCGGCTGCAGCTCGACTGGTCTCTGATCATAGCGTTGATAGCGCGGTGGCGACCGGACACACACACTTTCCACCTGCCCATTGGCGAGGCCACCATCACGCTTCAGGATGTTCAGGTTTTATATAGGCTGCCTGCTGATGGACTGGTCGTTGCACTGCCTCAGTATATGAGATCTATGACGCGTGCTTAGTATTTGGACTTGTTGCAGCAGTTTACTGGTTTCAGGCCACAGGGTGAGGCTGCAGCTTCAGGGGGCAGTCGCATTTCTGTGACAACTATTAGAAAACATTTGGAGGTATTGCACCTGTCACACCTCCTTTTTACCTACACCCCCTCAGAAAGGGTATATATAAGGGAGTTTTTTCCAACTTAAAGTGACAATCGAAACGGGATTAATTTATTAAAAATTCAGAGTCGCCACTTGGGATAATTTATGGTGTCCCAAGTCACCGGTATTAAATCCCGAATCGAGGAAAGATTGACTCTATATTACAGTCCGCGAACCAGAAATCCGGGTAAGGAATTCTATTAACTCGGGAGAAGGTGTTAGGCATTCCTGAGTTCCGCGGTTCTAGTACGATCGCTCAACTGCTATATTCGGCTTAATCATATGATTTTAAACAATTATGAACCTACGCCAATTTTAACTTTATAACCGCTTTTAATCATTTTTAAAGAAAATTGCAACGTCATTTAAAATACGTCTTGAACCACATCACATAAATGCACCCACGACTCTCGACATATTTTATCTAACGTTGTGGAGATTTATATTTGGGTCATATAAATGCGCACCCGAGTTTAGGAAGGTAAATTATTAAAGTAACGCGCTTAAAACAACTACGCATTTGCAACTTTGCGAGGGCCATGGAAAATTTAACTAAATGGCACGCCCCGATTTCTAGGGATTATGTGGGAAGGTCAAGAGCCTTGGATTTAGACTACATAAACCAATGAAAAGCCAAACCCATGCATCAGGAATTGATTGAACATACTCATACAATTGATACATGTTTAACTTATGCTATTCATTCTTAGTGAGGATGCAGAACTAGCCACTCGATAATCACAATTGAGTAAAGGATATCACTTAACTAAACAAATAATACCAAACAGTGATATTTACATTTAGCCACTAACATACTGAGTTTATTACAGAATCACAACAACAAAAACCAAACTAACTAGTGGTTAAAATCAAGATGTTAAGCTCTATCGATTTCTTTCAGCTGCAATGGCGAAGCTCAAAGAAGCAAAAAGAGTTCTTTCGACACAGACAAATGGAACGAATTGTTCAATACCTCAGTTCATATGTTGCAAACCCAGGTTGAATCATTCATCAAAGAGAAAAAATTTTCTAAAGATCGAATCAAATTACAACCTAATCGATGATGTTAATGTGTTTCAGGAACAAAATTTATCGGAAAGAAATAAAACGGCAATTGAATAAATTCAACTAAACAAATAATTCAGTCAAGCTGAAACTATCACGAACCTGGATTGCTTTTTATCCTAACTAAACCAACGGATAACTCTAATAGATGACACAAAATATCACACAAGGTTCTTAACACTAGCTTTGAACTTACACCAGCAAAGGAGTTACAAGACTTACAACAAACTCAGAGAAAGTACGATAATGGTTCACAATTCCTTTGGCAGAGTATTGAAGTGAATACATAGATACAGATTTCATAGCGGTAAAATCTCCTGCAGTAGTCATTTAAACTGCAAACACATTTCGGACAACAGCGAAACAAACAAGAATTGGACCAAATAGAGGTGAAGAAGAACTGGTAGGCCTAGCTATACAGAATCAGCGAAATAATGACAACACAGTGCCCCTCATAGCTCAAACTACCTGGCTCAAGAAATTTCAGAGGCCGAAATACTCCAGCATCTACAACAGACGAGATTGCACAGCTAACAATGACCGAAATCGAACAAAAACCAACAGATACAGTCAAGAATACTTAAGATACGAACACAT